TCTCAGTGTGCAGGTAGGCTGGCTGCTCTCACTGGTGCATTTTGGTTGTCTTCATTTTCCGCTCACAGCAGGGACCCCTGTGCCCCCGGGCCATGTGGCTAAGTTCTGGGTCCTCCACACACTGGCGGCTGTGTCTCGGCCCATCGCCGCAGCCCCTCTGTCTTTCTCGCCGGCACACCTCTCCCCGCACTCGGCCGCTGGAGGGGGTGGCAGCCCATGGTCTCACACAGCCTCCCTGTTCAGTGACCATCCTGTGGAACGGGGCTGGGAGGGAGCTTATGTTTTAAATATGCTTTCTTGTACAAGGGGACTTCTAAGGTTGGCAGAAAATGGAATTAAAAGATAATGGAATTTTTCCATGCAATTGCTGAAGGCCCCTTGTGCCTAATGGTTTAAAACTGAGTAATTCGTGACTAGCATTTATGATAACCTCCTATAAATGCTGTACCATTAATTCCATTACCTCTAGCTCCCAGCATAGGAACGAGAGCAGAGCAGATAGACAAATCATTCCTTAATGAAGCTGTTGTACCCAGACATGTGACCAAGTACAGCAGCCCCTTGCTTAACCTCACACACGCGTGTATGGCTTCACCCTCTGGTTGGCTTTCTAAAGTGCACAGAGGAAAGGAAGCGGAGCCCGGGCGCTTCAGCCTCAGTGTCATGTTGGAGCACTGAAGTCAGGCTGGGCCTGGAGCCCCTGCTGTTCAAGGAGAGGAGGAGCCACATGGACAGACTCTGGACGGACTCTAACTAGACAGGAAACTGACTGGACAGACCCAGAGACTGCGGGCAACTCGGAGTGGAAAGGAAGGGAAGCCCCAGGTGTGGTGTGGACAGAAGGAGAAGAGACCTGAGGGGGGACTGTGGGGAGCAACACCCACATCCTGGTACCAGGACCCCGGACTGGGCACTGCCACTGCAGGTGAGTGTCAAAAGTCAAGGGACCTAAGAAGTCTCCTGTGGTCCTGAAAGAAGCAGGGACCTTTGTGCAGGAGACCCTTACACAGCCGCCAGCCCACCCAGGGGCACCCAGCAAGAACACAGGCCTGCTGCTTGTCTTTGCTAAGTGTTGTCTGGTGGGTGCTAACTCATGGTAGCTCAACACGATGGCACCAGAGCACCTGGGGACTGGCCACACACTCCTGCACCCTGTCCCACACCAGGCTTTCCCACACACTCCTGCACCCTGTCCACACCAGGCTGTCCCACACACTCCTGCACCCTGTCCACACCAGGCTGTCCCACACACGGCTGCACCCTGTCCACACCAGGCTGTCCCACACACTCCTGCACCCTGTCCACACCAGGCTGTCCCACATACTCCTGCACCCTGTCCACACCAGGCTGTCCCACATACTCCTGCACCCTGTCCACACCAGGCTGACCCACATACTCCTGCACCCTGTCCACACCAGGCTTTCCCACACACTCCTGCGCCCTGTCCACACCAGGCTGTCCCACACCAGGCTTTCCCACACACTCCTGGACCCTGGCCACACCAGGCTGTCCCACACTCCTGCACCCTGTCCACACCAGGCTGTCCCACACACTCCTGCACCCTGTCCACACCAGGCTGTCCCACACACTCCTGCACCCTGTCCACACCAGGCTGTCCCACACACTCCTACACCCTGTCCACACCAGGCTGTCCCCCATACTCCTGCA